ATAGAGTGGGGGGGAAAGAGTATTAGGAATGGTTAATGAGTCATTTAAGTTAAGTCATTTAAGTCCTGGGCCTCAGAACACAATTTACTTGTGCCTCACATGCACTCTATAAGCATGTATCTCACCCCTATAATAAATAGCATGATTTTTTGGGGAACCACACTGTCACATCCAACCTCAGACCAGGATATGCTGCTAATAAGTCCATAGCTAAATGTCTCTAATAAAGGTTTAATGTCAAAGATATATAGGGAATTGATACAAATATATAATAAGAGCCATTTCCAAAAAGATAAATGGCCAAAGAATATATAGTTCTCAAAAGAAAATTACTGCCCCAAATCATTAATAAGAGAAATGCAAATAAAAATGACCTTGAGGTTCTACACCTCACACTCCACAGGTTAGGCAAAAATAACAAAAGAAAAGGGCAATAGCTGCAAGGACAATGGAAGTAGACAGTGGAAAAAGAGATACACTGGCTGGGGAACTGTGAATTGGTCCAACTATTTTGGAAAGTAATTTGGTATCTGTACCAAAAAAGTGACTTAAGTTGTGTACACCCTTTGACCTAATGATATCACAACAAGGCATATACCTCAAAAAGTCAAACACAGAGTTTTTGAAAAAAAAATGCACAAAAATACTTGCAGCAGCAGCACTTTTTATATTAGCAAAGCCCTGGAAACAAAAATGGATGCCCATCAAGTGGGAAATGGATAAATAAGTTATGGTAAATGAATGCAATGGAATATTATGTCTCTGTTGATGAATTCAGAGAAACCTGGGAAGATTTGCATGCAAAGTGAAAAGAACCAGGACATCATTCATCTCATGACCACAAATTTAATATACACTTAAAAAAACTTCATAACAAAAGTTCAGTTTCATATACAATCCTCTTTTTTATTCTTTGTATATTGATATGTTCAGTCTGTCAGGTTCAAAATAAAAAAGAACTATTTTTCAAAAAAAAATTTGATCTCCCAAAGCAGCAGCACTAACCTTATAACCAAAGATTTTTTGGCATACAAAAGTTATATAAATACTAGCCCAAACACTGGTTATTTCCTTTTCCTTTCTGCTACTTTTAAAGCTCCTCTGGCTAAATCTCCTTCTGAGCTGTATCAGAAGGTAGATAATGTCACAGTCACCCAGAAGCTACAGCTGAACCCAGGGCCCCCAAACCTAGAGCAGTTGAGAGGGAGAAAAGGGATAAATAATATATACTTCGAAACTGATATACACACCACAAAAATGACATAGACAAATTAACAGAAAGACAAAGACTTTAAAAAAAAACTTTCTGAAGAGAAAAAAATAGGGAAGGGGTAGAAGCATAGTACTGCTTACTCAGCCCCTCAGATCCAAGTGGATCCATGCACAGATAGAGGCAAATGGCACTATGGACAATGGAATTCTACAATTCAAACAACCACAATTTATTTTCAGGGCTGAAATTATTATACAATATTTTTTTCCTATTTATAAATTCTGGAACCTCAAAATTTCAAAGTTTACACAAATGAAGGCTACTTGTAATGCTGAAAAACATTTATTAAACATTCCAAGGAAAATTATGCTGCACAATATACAAATGAAGTAAAATATACATGGTCCCTCCCTCCATGCTAAGAGGGATAAAACAAACACGTTATAAATGAGGGGGGAAAGCACTAGGTATAAAAACAAAACTAATCTGGCTATTCTGAAGATTTGAAATATGTTCAAATTATGAATAGGTTAAGATTTTTCAGTGTGAATTGATATGAAATGAAGTCATTCATGTAAATGTAGTCAAGTGTACTAGATTAAGTAAACCATTTATTTACATTTTCTATTGTGAAAATCTTAAAGCTCCAAACAGCACCCTCTTTCGTATAAAATTATTTTACATTCCCAAGACATGACAATTTGACAACCATACCACCTTTACAACTCAGACAGGCTTGCAAAAACACAAGCACACACATACATATACCCCCACCTCAGCCTTTTATGCTGAGAATTAAGAAAAGTACGTCATATACATATATAAGTAAAATGAGATCGTTTTCCAGAAGCTGCTTGTATGTCAATAACCAAATATAATTTCCCCCCAATTTTTTGGAGTTGCAGCACTCTATAATTATGTTTGCTTTTGTGATACAACTCTCTTTTAAAAATTAGTATATGAGACTTATGTTGATATATACACAAATTTAAAATTAGGACTAAAGGGAACAGATAATGGTTACGATTACTTTCATGAAAAACAAAACAGCTGTTAAAAGTGAAAAACAGAAAAAGGAAAATTCCATAATCTGATAGCATAGACATCAAGAAAAATTTAATTAAAAAAATGACACATTTTGCTGTGAAAATGAAAGTATAATTTAAAACTATGGATATTATTCATTCAATAAATACTGACTGAATACCTACTACATATAAGGTATTTAGATGGCTACAATGAGGGGATACAAAAATGAATAAGAAAATAAAACACCAGCTCTGTTCTCAAATATAAGTTGTAGAGGCAGATATACATTTATTTGCAGAAAGCCAACCATCCTGGCCTTTTAAGTAACTTGTTGAGGAGGATTAGGTACATAGGACAAAATTCTGGGAACCTGCTGGTACATTCATGACCAGAAGGGCATTAGATTTGAAATTAGAGGAACTGGGATGGAATCCTAACTCTTCCACTGCTATCGTTTGACTTTGGGTAGTTTGCTCCTCTGTAAAATGGGATGTCAGGAAGGTTAAACTAGATGACCTAAGCAGCTTTAAGTCTATAAGAAAGAATTTCACTTTTAAGAAAACTATTAGATTTGAATGATCTCCAATTTTACTTACATATTTCATATATTGGTCCTTCTACTGCAGAAAGAGAAATCGACCAACTTTTTCCCTTACCACTAGCAGTACCAACATGTGAACAAATCACCTGAACAGATGTCAGTATGAGTTCTAAGTTAACTTTTTATATTATGTAATAAACGATGTACATTAATGAAATATTAATGCTTAAAAATTACCAAAATTTTGAAAGAGTACACAATCAAATCTTTTTTTCCATGAGATGTGAATGTTAAAATTGACTAGTGTTAAATTATTTCAGAATGAATCCTCTGAATATTACAAATATGGGGGAGACTTAATCGAATTACAGTGTTCATTCTGCTTTATAACTGACAAATTCCTTTCAATCTTACACCAGTATATATTTCTGCCATAAGACAAATTCCACCTATCCCAAAAAGAGAAGCCAAAGCTGTAATTTCACTTCAGGAATTGTCTACTGTTGAGCAGAAAGGAGTCCATTTGTGGTTTATGAAGTCAGCAAAAAAATTTAAAAAAAAAAAACACTGTGCAAAATTAAAGCTGTGTTATAACATGATGGTAATTGTGGCCAAAGATTCACTTCTGTTTTAAGTCCAACTTCTCTTTTCCCGGGGTAAAAGTGGGCTAAAATTTCACAGGTATAGATTCAATCCAAAGATAACTTTTTTCCAGGCTGTTTTTGGTAAACTCAAACTTGAATCCCTTTGAAAAACCAGGTTTTTCTAATGGTCAAAAATCCAATAAACTTCAAAAACATTTACTTTTTCTTGAATCTTTAATATGACAGGTGTATGAACTTTCTTTGAATATTATGTATGTTTCAGGTAATATTTCTAATACTTAAGGAATCAATCTAAAATAATTATTTTTGTTCCACTTTAGCGAATATCAATTTAGAGAGATGTCTGCAAACATAAATGCACACATTTCACACGTTAATGACAATTTAACACATTTCAATGCCTACAGATATATCAGCATTGCTGTCACAATGCATACGCCTTTCTATGACTATTTATACAAACCTTCATTGAGCGAACATTAAACCCCTATTATAGTCAATGAACCGGGCTGTGCATAACATGAGATAGATAAATAATACCGGGTCCAGTCCCAGCCATCATGCATGAACCCAAACCATGGCATTCAGCCAAATCAATGCATATAGCATAAGGGCTTGGAATTACATTAAGGGTTACAATCCTACCTTCTCATTTCCTGAATTCATTAACTAAGGTGGAAAGGGGTTTTTCTGCATTAATTATTCATAAAAGATCATTCAACTAAGAACCACGCTGTGCTACGTTCTGATCACTACACAACCAAAGCAGCTAAAATATAAAAGGGCCAAAACTTAAAAAGAAAGAAAAAGCACACATAATCTCTGAATATCGTCTCAAAACATCACCCGACCCCACTCCCATAAAGCACACCCTGGATACGACGAACAAAAAGAAAACAAAACGTGCTAAGTTTTCAACTGCCCAGGGGAACTGAGAACGCAAGTACCAACAGTTCAGTAAAGTGGCCACAACGCGGTGAAAACTGGTTCCCGAATGACAACCCCCCAGCCCAAAACAAAGGAAAACTTTTGCATGTTGCGGTTTTCAATCAACCCCAGTAAGGGGAGAGGCTCGCCCCAAGCCCAGCGCAGTTGTCACCAGGCATCAGCCAAGAGACAGGTCCCCGATCGCAGGAAGACGGGCAGAAGAGCGGCTGGAGACCCCGGGTGGGAAGGGGGCGCCTCGTAAGCGCCCTCCCCCCGCCGCCAGGTTGGCAGCACGGGGTATCCATGAGGGCTGAAGGGTTACACCTTTCCGAGGGCATTAACTGCCGGAGACGAGCCTCCCCGCCCCAACCGGCGGGCGCCGGGGAGGGAGGGGGACCCGGTCTACCTGGAAGGAAGCGAGACACACCCGCTGGGGGAGGGGAGAGCGGCGGGGGAGCGGCCAGAGCGCAGTGCGGCCCCTCCCCCCCAGCCCAGACCCGGGAAGGGGCACTGCTGAGAGAGAAGTTTCTCCCCAACTTCCAGACGCGAAGCCCGAAGCAAGGAGGGGGGCGCTTAAAGGGGTAGAGGGAATGAGGCGGCCTCCGAGGACTGCCGGGCCTAGCGCTCTCGGAGCTCGAGCGACTTCTCTCCCGGGGAGCGGAGGGGGGCCCTGCCGGGTCCTTACCTGCTCTCGGCCCGCTCACATGAGTGTCGGCTGCGGTGGCAGCAGCTTCGGCTGGAAGGTGGAGGGGAGGGGAAACCGAGGTGGAGGCGAGATCCGCGGGATCCGGCGGGCAGCGGGTCCTCCCTCCCTCCGCCGCCCTCACCGCCTCCTCCACCTCCGTGAGCGCCTGTCGGCGGCAGCAGCACCCAGCCCTAGACTCCTTACTCCACGGAGGAGGGAATTCCCGGGCTCCCCCCACCCCTGGCCCTCACTCTCCACCTCTTCTCTCCTCCCCTCAACCGCCCGCCCTCTCCCTCGGCTCCGCCTCTCTTACTCTCCTCCCGCCCCTCCTCCTCCTCAGCCGTTGCGGCTACCTGCGCGCGCGAGGGAGGGAGCAAGCCCCGAGGACACCGGAACTCGCGCCTCCCCACCCTGCTCTCTACTCCCCACCTTCCGGCCCCCAGCAGCGGCAGGGGTACACCCCCCCCACTCGTGCCCTCTCGGCGGCCGGGGTCACACGCCTCTCGCCTCCCTCCCCAGAGGTGGGGGCCGTTGGGCAGCTCCACCCTGCGATCCCCTCGGCTCGGCCTCAGCCAAAACCGTGTCACACATCCCGATCAAACATGGCGGCGGGGTCCGGGGCCGATTCCCACGGGGATGAGTAGGGAGCCCGAGTAAAGGAGGCGCCTTTCCAGCCCCCCTTCCTTTCTCCGCCCCCTACTCGCGCACCCATAGACGGACCGAGCTATTTAAGCAGCTGGGGGGAAATAAATGGGGCGAACTGATTAGCCCCTCCCTCGCCCTTGTTGGGTGACTTGTGGGTCTTCGGGGCCGAAGCTTTACGTCGCGGCGGGGGTGGATGGGTGGAGAGAGTTTGTTTATTGAAGTCAACGCATCCTGAACATCCTGCGCTTCAGCCCAAAGCTTTTCCATCCTTTGTCCGCGAGACTAAAATTCTCAGCCCAGCCGGATGAGGCAGATGGGCGTTATCGTCCGCCTTCTCGGCCAACGTTTCCCTAGAGTCCGCCCGCGCGCCCCCCCGCGGCGCGCAGACCAGTCCGGAGAGAACGCCTTAGCCCGCCCCTCTCCCACCCCGTCCACCGGCCCGGCCTTCCCCCGGGGTCTCGCGCTCGCGCGAGGCTCGCCCGATGGCGTGTGTGCGCGCCGCCTGCCCGGGAAGTTCCAAATTCTCCCCAGGCGCTCCCGGGAAGCACAGGCTCCTGGAGCTGTCCTGAGTCACCCCGAGGTCGTCCAAGGTTAGAGTAGGGATCTCAGGGCTTTGCACTGGAAGGGGCCTGAGCAGGGATCAAGCCCCACCGAAGGGTGCAAGGGCTTGAGCCCAAGGTCACACGATTCTCCCCATGCTTCTCTAGCTCCTAATCGCTTTCGTAGCCCGGAGAAACTCGCTTAGAAGCTAGGAGTTAGAGCTGAGTTCGAGTGCCGGTGTAGGCGTTTACTATAACTTGTGGGACCTTGGTCAAGTCACAGAAACTCTCAGTGCCTCAGTTTCTTCCCCTGTCGAATGAGGGAGATGGAATCCGTTAAACTCTAGGACAGGATCTCGGAGTTTGTGAACTTGTTTTTAAAAATACACATTTTTAAAACTTTCAATGCAATTAGTTTCCTTTGTAGTTCTTTATATTTTATGCATTCGAAAATACTGTTGAGAAAGGATTCATAGGCTTCTCCAGACATAGGTCTGTAACACACAAAAAAGGTTAAGAACCCGCGCTGGGTCTCTTCCAGCTCCGACCTTCTATGAATATTATGTCTTGTTCTGGTGAAATTACGCCGGTCCTGTCGGGCGCTCCGATTGACTTCCTCTTTGTATTTCCTCTTGGACAGAGTTATCAAGAATCATGCGGGATTGCTGGTTTCCTTTGTGTGTGCTGGTTAAAAGTGAAGTTAAGAAGTAACTCTGTACTAAATATCCACTTGTATTCATGACTGCATTCTAGGAGCTTCGAAAGAAAACTCAGAGATTGAAAAAGAAATGGGTTCAACTGATTGATTAGATGTTAGGCATGCATAGAAACAAAGGGAGTTATCAAGACAAGCTTTTTCCCTCCAAATATTAAAAATAAACACCTGAATTATACATTTACGACTTAAGGGTTCTATCTACCCTCTTTTCACTTTGATTGGTGTGGATTTCTTCTTTTAGCTTTTTAAAAAAAAGATTGTATTTGATCTAGTCTCTCCAGGAGAGAGCAGTGACATTTTTGACTTAACTTCTAATTGGACCAGAGCAGGAAGTCATGTTTAGGAAAGCATAATTTTATTTTTGTTCATGGAAATCTTTGCTTTTCTACCATAAGGCTTAAAAATTATTCTTAAGCGTAGTAATTTAAAACAGTGTTTTCCAAGTACAACAAGGTGTTGGGAAATGGAGAGGTCTACCTTGCAGTTCCAGAAAAGTCAAAGACCTAATTTTTTTTTGTCAAAACTATTAGTGTCTCTTCTTGCTTTTACCCCGACTCTCACCTCGACTCCCATAAATCCTTTTTTCCCTTTCCTTCACCCCATACAGTATCCAAACTCTAAGCAGAAAACAAGTCAAATCCTACTACAACAAATATAACAAAATACATTTTTTCAAGTCTCAACTAAGAGTTCACTTATTTTCATTAATATTCAGTACGGAGGCAACATGGCATAGTGCATAGCTAGTTAGCAAGGGAAGCCAGAAGGATCCGGGTTCACATCCTGCTTCCTAAGTCCTGTCTCTGAGACATTCTGCCTATTCAAGATTGGGCAAGTCACTTGACCTCTGACTGCCCTAGGTAGTCTAAGACTATAAATTGCCGAGAAGGTGATACCCTGCGTTGATTGGCAGAGGGAATTTCACCACCTGGGAGTTCCAGATACCAATGAAATCACTGGCTGATTCTCCATCTATATTCTAAACAAAAGAATTCTAGTATAACAGTAACAGAAAGTTTCTTTTGAATTTGGTATAACAGGCCTTGACAGGTCATTTCACATATACAAAACAAAGAGATATGCTTCTGTCTCTTTCCCTTTCATAATAACATTAAAGTAATATGCTTTTGTTTGTGTATACTCTAAATACTAAGGAGTAAGAAAAATTTCATTTCAGCAAATGCAAAATGTTTTCATTTAGTTAAGCTTTTCAAAGTTGACTTTCTAAAAGTAAAAACGTTTTGGAGTTGAGCTGGAGTAATGATTCTCTATGATGCTTTTTTTCATTCTTAGAAGTTCACTACAGGAAATCTAACAAGAAGAGATTATATTAATCATCGTGGTTATCATAATAGCTGGCATTTATGTAGCACTTTAACAAAAGCGATTTACAAATTGTTTTCTCATTCAATCCTTGCAATAAACCTGTTGGGTAGGAACTATTATGGTTCCCATTTTACAGATGAGGAAACTGAGTCATTCACAGGTTAAGAAACTTGCCCAGGATCACACAGCTTGTAAATGCCTGAGGCTGGATTTTATCTCATGTTTTCCAGACTTCAAATCCAGTGCTCTCAATCCACTGTGCCACCCAGCTGTAGTTGAAACTCTAACTCATGATAAGTCACACAGTTAGTAATATTAACGTATGTGTATAGGGTCACAGAATCATAGATTTAGAAACAAGTATTTCCACACCCTCCTTTTTTCAGATAACAAAATTAAGGCCTAGAGAAATTAAATGACAGGTTGGAGGTCACACAGGGCAAAAGTAAGTGGCAAAGGTGGCATGTGATCTCAGGTCTTCTAATAACAACCCGTGGCTCTTTACACAGGGCCACTGTGCTACGTGGTGAATACTGTAGGAAGTATTATCCTCATTTTACAGAAGAGGAAACTGAGAATCTGAGGTTAAGTAACTAACTTTCCCATGGCTGCTCAGAGTATAAACTCAAACTTATGTCTTCTAATTCTCAGTCAAATGCTCTTTCCAGAGTGTGTCAGATAGTAATTTGTTCAGTTCAGTCTTTTTTCAGTCATGTCCAACTCTTTGTGAATCTATTTGGGGTTTTCTTGGCAAAGATACTGGAGTGGTCTGTCATTTCCTTCTCCAGCTTATTTTACAGATGAGGAAACTGAGGGTTAGTGATACTGACAAAGATTTGAGCTGGGGTTGATATCAGGAAGACCCCACTGACCATGGACAAGTCACTGTCACTGTCATTGACAACTCTAAACAGGTCCAAATCCCTCACCCCCACCCCCACCCAAAATGTCTTTGATAGTTCCTACTAGGAAGTGGTTTTTCATTTCTGAAAGTTGATAGTCTTTGTCCAAAGGAAAGACAGAAGAAAAAAACCCCAATGGAAAGAGAGAAAAAAGAAACCCTCCACTAATTGGTAGCTATTGGATTTCTTCCCCAGCTCTAACAACCTTTAATTCAATTCAAGTATTGAAATTCATACTATGAGCAATCCCAATTTGTAAGTAATATAATTAAGCCATTATTTTAGCCAGGTTTTAGTTTCTCTTTCTATTCTTTACCCTGATCACATATCCCTCCTTTACAATGAATGAATAATTGACCCTGAATCCGATTCTTGCAACGTGAACCTGAAATATGAATACCGCCTATGGTTTACAACCTGTGTGACTTTGGACACTCCACTTCCCTGGGATTCACGTTCCTCATCTGTAAATGAAGATGGTTAGACTAGATGTGTTCTGAGGTCCCTTTCGACTCTAAAGCTGAATGAAAACATAATTCAACATAGCAAAATTATTTTAAACAATGGTCTTCTAATAAGGAGACAAAGCAAACACAGAATCAACAATTAAGTTGCAATGGAACAAGCCAGGGATTTGGAATTAAGAGATAAAATCCTCTTATTATCGGATATTACTACAAGTATGACTTTTGGCACTGAACTTTTCAGTATCTACACATGTAAAATGAAGGAGCTGGACTAAATTATGATCTCTAAGGTCACTTCTAACACCAAGTATTCAATTGCATGGTACAGACTAAGTGCAAAATAACATAATAATTAGCATTTGTATAGTGCTTTAACATTTACAAAGCACTTCACAAATATTATCTCATTTTATCCTTACAACAACTCTAGGAGATAGCTGCTGTTATTATCTAATTTTACAGATAAGAAAACTGAGGCAGCCAGTGGTTAAGTGTTTTGCTTAGGTTCACACAGCAAGTAAGTGTCTGAGGAAGGATTTTTCTTTTTTTCTTTTCTTTTTTTTTAAATTTTGGCTAGGCAAT